GCCAACAAGTGGTATCGAAGCACTATACAAGCACCGTGTGCGGACTAACCACTAGCGATGACGGATGGTTTGGAATTGGGCGACAGTAGTGGCACTGCAGTGGCTTCCCAGCCATGACAGAAGGTCGTTGTGTGCATGGTGCAGGAGGTCAGCGGCACCAGTTGGCCGACGCTGACTCGCACCAACTATGGAGAGTGGTCGGTGACCATGAAGGTCAAGCTCAGAGCCCGACGGCTCTAGAATGCTATTGACAAGGGCACCGATAATGAAGAAGATAATATATCAACGTTGGAGGCTATCCTCGCTGCTGTACCGGCGTAGTACAGGGATACGTTGGGGGTGAAAAGCTCTGCTAAGGAGGCGTGGGAGGCCATTGCGTCGATGCGCGTCGGTTCTAACCGCGCAAAGAAGGCGACGGCCCGGCTTCTGAAGCAGGAGTACGCCAACCTCAAGTTCAAGGATGGTGAATCAGTGGAGGACTTCTCCCTCTACCTGTAGATGCTCATCAACAAGCTGAAGAGCCATGACGTCACCATCGACGAAGAGGAGGTGGTCTCCAAGTACCTCCACTCCGTGCTGACAAAGTACATCCAGATCACTCTCTCCATAGAGACGATGCTGGACTTGTCCACCCTCACCATTGAGGATGTGACAGGTCGTCTACGGGTAGTGGACGAGCGCCTAGAGCAGGCGATAGCAACGAAGGACAGCGGCAAACTGCTGCTGACAGAGGAGGAGTGGGCAGCTCGGAGGAACTCCGGGGTAGCCTCCTCCAGCCGCGGTGGCGATGGCAAGCACCGCGGCAAGGCTTTTTTGGGGAAGAAGAAGCAGGTCGACCCCAACGCCTACCGGCGCTGCGGGAAGACAGGCCATTGGGCATAGGAGTGCCCAAATCGCAAGCAGGAGAAGAAGGCTGAGGCTCATCTGGCGTAAGCTGATGATGACGATGAGGCCACTATCCTGATGGCGACGTTCTATGCACTGCATGACATCGAGGCTAAGGAGAAGGGAGAGGTGATGGCGGTGAAAGGACCTGGAAAGGCCCTGAAGGCTGTCAACCTCGACGAACCACGCACCCAAGTCTACCTTGGACATGTGGGCGGCGAGTAGGAGCAGCAGTGGTATCTGAACTCTGGCGCCAGCAACCACATGATGGGCTCCAAGGCAGCCTTCTCCGAGCTCGACGATGATGTGACCGGTATGGTGAAGTTCGATGACGGCTCAAGGGTGGCAATCTGAGGGCACAACACCATCATCTTCAGGTGCCAGAATGGCTAGCACCGCGCGCTAACGGATGTATATTACATCCCACAGCTATGTTCAAGCATCATCAGCATTGGCTAGCTGGATGAGTGCGGTAGCGAAGTACTGATCAAGGACGGAGTCCTTAGGATCAGGGACTGAGAGCAGCGACTTCTTGCCAAGGTAAAGATGTCTCAAACCCAGTTGTACCTGCTCAACCTAAAGGTAGAGTAGCCGGTGTGCCTGGCGGCAAGGCACATCGAGGAGCCGTGGCTGTGGCATGCCCTATTCGGACATCTCAACTTTGACACGCTTGGTTGGCTAGAGAAGATGGTCCGAGGGCTACCCCACATCGAGCATGGAGGCGAGCTATGTGACAACTGCCTGGCCGAGAAGCAGAGGAGGCTGCCATTCCCAAAGGCGGCCAAGTATCGTGCGGTGGATGCTCTCGGGCTCATCCACGGCGATCTCTACGGGCCAATCACGCCAGCCACAAACGGTGGTCGGCGGTACTTCCTCCTACTCTTGGATGATTGTAGTCGCTACATGTGGCTGCAACTCCTAATGAGCAAGGACGAAGCGGCGATGGCGATCAAGAAGTTCAAGATGCGCACGAAGGCCGAGAGCGGCAAGAAGTTACGCGTGCTGAGAACTGATCGTGGCGGCAAATTCACTTCGGTGGAGTTTGTTGCGTACTGTGCAGATCAGGGTGTGGTACGACATCACACTGCGTCGTACTCGCCACAGCAGATTGGCGTGGTGGAGCGACGGAATCAAACGGTGGTCGGCATGGCTCGATCCATGATGAAGGCCAAAGGCATGCCGGCAAGGTTTTGGGGTGAGGCGGTGACCATAGAGGTGTTCATCCTCAACCGCGCACCCACCAAGGCCCTGAAGGGCAAGACGTCGTTCGAAGCTTGGTATAGTCGCAAGCCGAGCGTGTCCTTCCTCCAAACATTCAGCTGCATCGGCCATGTCAGGAAGACGAAGCCGATCCTCACCAAGCTGGAAGACAGGAGCACACCGATGGTGTTCCTGGGCTACGCAGAGGGTACCAAGGCGTACAGGCTCTATGACCCAAGCGAAGGTAAGGTGGTTGTCTCACATGATGTCGTGTTCAATGAGAAGGTGGCTTGGGACTAGAACTGTTCGAGCACGAGGGAAGCTGGTGGCTTCACCAGCACCTTCGTCGTTGAGCACTTGGTCATCCACGGTGGTAGAGATGCTGGGGAAGAGGTGCCGAGCACTACAGCGATAGGGTCGAGCACTCCAGAAGGGGTGCCAAGAGGTCCTACAGTGGTGGCAACCACTCCAGGATGGGTGCCGAACACTCCCGTAGCAGAGCTGGGAGGTCTTGCAGTGGTGCCGACCACTCCAAGCCTGAGGCTAGGCACTCCTACAGTGGTGCCGAGCACTGCAGGAGTGGTGACAAGTTGTCTAGGAGTGGTGACAAAGCTATCTAGGAGTAGTGCCGAGCATTGCAAACGGGGTGCCGAGCACTCCAAATACTATGTTGATCACTTCGACGGAACAGGGAACTCCATCGACGCCGATCGAGTTCGCCTCACCTCCAAGTGACATCACTGAGTTCGTGGATGCCTTCCACGAAGGTGAGGAGGTGTGGTTCCACAAGCTGGATGACATCATCGGTGGCACAGGGCCCTTAGGCCTGGCGGGACTACTGCTTAATGACCTAGAGCTCCTTCTCGTCAGTGCAGAGGAACCACCCACTTTCGCGCTAGCCGAGCGTGATTCAAACTGGCGACGGGCGATGCTGGAGGAGATGAAGGCGATCGAGGAAAATGAGACTTGGGAGCTCGTCGATCCACCTCTAGGATGTCGTCCGATCGGGCTGAAGTGGGTGTACAAGGTCAAACGGGACGAGCGTGGTGCCACTATCAAGCACAAGGTGCATCTCGTCGCCTGAGGCTTTGTCCAACGTGAGGGCATCGAATTCAAGGAAGTCTTTGCGCCAGTAGCGAGCATGGAGTCTGTCTGACTGCTACTGGCTTTGGCAGCAGCAAAGGACTGGCGCGTCCATCACCTGGACGTTAAATCGGCCTTCCTTAATAGCGAGCTGGACGAGACGGTCTTCGTCAGGCAACCTCCAGGTTTCGCCATCAAGGGAGCGGAGCACAGAGTGCTCTGACTGCACAAGGCACTCTACGGGCTGCGGCAGGCCCCGCGAGCGTGGAATGCCAAGCTTGATGCCACGCTAGGCGAGCTTAGGTTCACGAGGTGTGCAACCGAGCACGCGCTCTACACACGGCAACGGGGGAAGGAGGAGCTCGTCGTCGGTGTGTATGTGGATGACTTGATCATCACCGACGCACGTGCGAAGGACATCGACAGCTTCAAGCGCGAGATGGTGGCTCGTTTTTGAATGAGTGATCTCGGCGTGCTCTCCTACTACCTCGGCATCGAGGTGAGACAGGGGAAGGAGGCATTCATGCTCGGTCAGAGCACGTACGCCTCGAAGCTATTGGAGCGAAGCGGCATGGCTGAGTGCAAGCCATGCGTGACTCCGATGGAGGAGCGGCTGAAGCTGACGAAGGCCAGTACTGTGGCGAAGGTGGATGCAACACTTTACAGGAGCGTCGGCGGCGGTCTGCGCTAACTAGTCCACACGAGGCCGGACATTGCGTTCGTCGTGGGCTACGTCAGTCGCTTCATGGAGGATCCCAGATAAGATCATGGGGCTACGATGAAGCTGCTACTACACTATGTCAAGAGGATGGTGGATCAGAGAATCGTCTTCCCCAAGACCGGCGGGAGTAGGTTGTAGCTCACTGTATTCAGCGATGCAGACATGGCGGGGGACATCGACGGACGACGGAGCACCTCTAGCATGCTCGTCTTCCTCGGGTCGACTCCAATTTCATGGATATCGCTGAAACAGAAGGTGGTGGCGCTGTCTACGTGCGAGGCAGAGTACGTAGCAGCAGCCACAGCGGCGTGCCAAGTTGTGTGGCTGCGTCGGCTGCTGGGCGAGCTGACCGGTGCGGAAGCTCACTCACCAGCACTAACGGTAGACAACCAGCCCGCCATCGCCCTCGCAAAGAATCCGGTTCTCCACGACCGGAGCAAGCACATTGACGTGAAGTTCCACTTCCTCAGGGACTGTGTCGATGGAGGACAGATCGTCATCGAGTTCGTCGAAACTGGTCGGCAACTCGCGGACGTCCTCACCAAGCCGCTCGGCCATCTTCGACTCACGGAGCTAAAGAAGATGATCAGCACGGGGGTTCTAGGGTTAGCAGCGGGATTAGGGGAAAAATTGTTAGATAATCTGTTGCATCCCTTGTCTGAATGCGCAGCAGGGGAAGGCGGCGCTGAAAAGGGCTTCCTGCTGGTGCACTGTAGCAGCTGCAGGGGCAGGCGCCTAAGTCAGCCCTGCTGTCACATATAGTCACTGTAGCAATATAACAGCTGTATTATGACTAGATGGGTAGAGTTATATATATAGTTTGCCACTGCAACTCAGTAAAGAGAGTGGGTTCAGTTTTGCCATCTTCTCTGTAGAGCTCCGGCCAACGCTGGTGTTTCTAATGTGTGTATGCTCTATTCTTCCTCCCTTCTTCTACCTCTTGTCATAATGTGTGGTCGGACAACGCTTTTCGTGTTCGACAACAGACGTGAGTGGTCTACTCACCCGTGCCAGTGATCCGGTGGGCCAACATAAACTTAGAGCACTTCTCAGTTCTCACTCAGGGTGTTGCTAATGGCTCCATTGGACACAACACCAAGGTCGTCCCCATTTAATTGATCACTATACATGCGTCTTGCTGCTCTTTGTTGGCATCACCCATTGAGGTTTGATTTTCAGGTCGAGACTTCAAAATTCTCAGCCTAGCCATAACAGCATCATCAGTCCCATCTTCTCTATTTGTTCTCGCATCCAGTCGTTGCTTGCTGTTTTCCTGTCCCAATAGGGCTGCACTATTAGGATGGGACTCCAAAATTGCCAGCCTTGCCATAACAGCATCATCAACATTATCTGCACTGTTTGTGCTTGCATCTAGCTGGTGTTTGTTGCTTTCCAGACTCAAAGAGGTTATATTGTCAGGAGGAGACTTCAAAACTTTCAGTCTCGCCATAACAGCATCTTCAACTGCATATGGTCTCTTGCTTGCTTCTTGCTGCGCCCCACAGTCAGTCTCACTGAAGGAGTTTACATTATCAATCAGGGACTGCAAAACTTTAAATCGGGCAAACACATCAGCATCAACACCATTGAAAATGCTCCTATTTACAACGGGAGATTGCTTGTCACGAGTATCTCCTCCCTGGCCCTGACAAGCCGCAGCGCATGCAATGGTTTCTTTCCCATGGTTCTGTGGTTTGCTACTGGACATGTATGAATTAGAGCCTTTACTGCCTTCTGATGAGTCAGGGGCTGCATTGGCAAAAGAAGAAAAATATGAGTATACACAGAATCCAAGAACCATTTGAAAATATTAATTTATATATCCATCTTGCTACTCCTTCAGCTTCCTTCCACAAATGTGTGTCTTCAGCATTCAAAATTGTCCACAAATGTAAACATTTCTGGTATAATCAACCCCTCCCCTCTCTCATCATTAATATTTGGAAGCAGTTTTATTTTGATGGCAAGCATGTTTAGCATCAATATAATCTTGCTGTTTAAAGTTTTAATTAGCACTTGGCGTTTATGGCATCTGTACGAAAGGAAGGCGTTAACTGCACCTCTGTAATCTTGGTGATTGATTGAGGAACATCACAGTCATTTCCCTTCCTCCTACATATGTCCCAAAAATCCTGGAAATGCTTACATTTGTGGAGCGAGGGAGTACCTTTTACTGTGTCGTTGAGGCCTTTTGCTGTCTCGAGCTTCAGGCGAGCATGTTGAAGCTCATATTTGAGTTTACAAGCTGAAGCTTCTGCTTCAATCCACAAGTTTCTATAGATTGACGCCTGAGAAACTTCAGTGTTGTCAAGCATCTTATCCTCCTGGTGATTAGTAAGAACCTGAAACGAAAGGTGCAACATAAGGTACATACTTTGGAGGAAATGTCTGTATTAATTCAAATAAAGCAGAAGCATGATGTTCCAAATAATGACTAAAGCTACCTGTGAAACAGAGACCTTAAATTCTTAATCAGCATTCTCCTGTCCGGAGTCTTCATGCATTGACCTCCAAAAGTTGTTCCTCGTACAATTAATATTTTTTAATTTCATTTGACTGGAGTTGCTCAATCCATCATCAATTTTTTGTTCAACCTTGGAGGCAGATGAAATGAGTTTAAGGCTACAAACAGAAAGGGATTATCTATCTACATATAATGTCTGGACTCTGGAGATCAGAAAGCACCATAGAAAGGAAGGAAATAGGCCCATTTCTTGATTCCTATTATAAGTTTGGTTTACATTGCATTATGAAATAGTAAGCGGTATCTAAATAAAAGCATTTCAAGATCATACCTTGCTTCTTTTGGATCTGGCAGATGTAAGATTTTGAATCACTGATTGCTGAAGCTCCTCTTCATCTTCCTGTAACGAAGAACCGCCCTTGCAGGTCGACAGAAGCGCTACTAACAGATTATTCATTAGTTTCAGATATATAGCCCGAGTGCTATAGCTGGATTCGGAAGACATGTTCAGCATATTCCCCTCAACACCTGGATAACGTTGAGAAGGGTCTTCACCTCTTTTTTGAGTGCTTTCTTCTTTCTCCACAGCTGCACAAAAAATATTTCCATGTGGGCCTCCTGTTGTTAAATGATCAGTATGAACTCTAGGAGTAATAGCAATAGGATTCATCACACTTTTACTCGTTAGTTCTCTAAACATGGTACTTTGACACAGAATTTCAAACTTAGTTATACAGTTGAAAACAACTATAGTTCACACAAATGCATCAAATGCCAGCAAGAAAAATGTATCTAACGCCCTGTTCGCTTATCTTATAATCCGTACTTTTTAGCTTGTTTTTTCAGCCACAACAGTGTTTTTCTCTCACGACAAATCAGCTAGAACAGTATTTCGGCTTGTTTTTTTAGCGAAGCGAACGGGGCCTAAATGTTGTATATATGCAAAAATGCAGATGCCCACATGCAGGCTTCACCTCCCTGTTCGTTTCGCTGAAAAGCCAGGCTAAAAAATATGATTCGCTGATTTATTGTGAGAAAAAAAAATACACTAGTGACAGCACCTGTCTATCTCACAGAATCTGTCGTGCTGTACTGGCTAGCGGTGGCCCACAGGGTGTCATGCCCCAACGAGAAGTTATGAAGTGTCAGATTCGAGTGATCTCCTTCACAAAGTGGAAGTTCGTTGGAACCCCCGAGATAGCAGCTCGACCAATTGAATCCTGCCCAGGCTATTGTTACCTAAACCCGTTTCTTTCTTAACTTGGCAGTCTGTCTTTCTTTTCTTTTCTTTTTACGAGACCTATTTATAGACGCTGACGCTCACATATATGAACGCATACTCACCCCTATGATTACACGTATGCACGTCCTAAACTTGACAATCTTTCTTAAGGTTAGGATTCCACTAGAAACCCAGTCTTAGGGCTTCCCCAATGTCAGTGTCCTCAGCAGTGGCTTTAAGGTCCAACTAGAGGTTCGGATGCCATGTTATACAAAAAGTAGGTGCTCTACATATGTCATAATTGCCTACAGAAGTTACATATGCTTAGGAGAGAGAAGGTGATCTATGCAAGATAAGAAGAGGGAGAGAGAGATAAATAGTGGCGCATGGTAAAAGAAAAAAAGCAAGGTGGAGACTAAAAGTAGAAAAGACATAGTAGTTTGCATTGTGTGAACAGTAGCCTTAATATCTCCTAGTCTACATGATCACTTTAATTGTACTGAGACCACTAGCGATGTTAGCCTGCATTGGACGTGCCCTTACTCATTTTCACAGCAGCTTATCTCTCTATAGTTCTCTTAGGTGTAGAACTTACCCTCTTGGGATCATTGCCACCAACCTCTATATTCGGCTTACCCCGCCGAGTTTAGTTGGTTGTTTGATATAGCTGATAACTTTACTTATTTCTAATATTTTTGGCTGCTAGTGCTTCCCATGAATATAAATACGAAATGTTATAATACTCGAAATACTATCAGCCTGTTCGGGAGGCCGTAAACGATCGTGGATTATTTACTGCTGGCTGATTTGGTGTGAGAGAAAAACACTGTTCTGACTGAAAATTTACGATCGTTTACGACCAAACGAACAGGCTGTATGGCGGCCGAAGCCGAATAGAGTGGTGGCACTTGGGAGGGAGATAAACAAAGGCAGTGAGGAGAGTCTGCAGGGGTGGGAACGAGGGAGGGGGGCAGCAATTGAACAGCAAGAATGTGGTGTTGGCTCTATTATGCATACTTTTATATTGGTTTTTTTTTTTGTTAATCAAGGGTAAGGACTTAATTATTTGTACATATTTCAGTTAGTTACACAGTAAGATTGAATTAGAGACCAGAAATTTAATTTGGATCATTTCGAGTTCAGTCTCGATTAGTTCAGTTTAGTCCTTCCGTTTCGGTTCATTTTGCCCACCCCTACTGGTGTGAGGCAATCAGGTGTGCGATCAGATCGATTAGGGAATGACTACTTGAAGAGGAGGTGCATCTGCTTGTGCGACGGAAAGTTAGGGAATGACTACTTTCCGTCGCACAAGCAGATGCACCTCCTCTTCAAGTAGTCATTCCCTAATCGATCTGATCGCACACCTGATTGCCTCACACCAGAAGCAAAAGTAGTTCACCTGATTCCACCGAGGACGTGCAATGCAAAGGCTATCACCATCAAGCAGTGGCATGAGTTTGGATAGTTGGCCAGTTATTGTATCAAAGTTGTATAGGATGAGTAGAACACTCTCCTTAGTTGTATGATTTTTAGGTCCAGTCTCCATTCAAAAAATGGAAGGACACTTGCCTTTTTTTTTCTTTCTTCGTCTAATAGAAATCACAGCAAAACTTTGCCGTCCTTTCTAAAAAAAATAAAAAAAAAATCACCATCAATGTAAAGGCTATCACCATCTTATAGCAGTAGCTCCTCTACTGCGTTATGATGAATGAGCAGTTCGACATAATTGAATTCCTTTTGTGTGAGATCGATGATACGGTCTACGTCATCAATAAACGGTAAGACCTTCCATGCGCCATTTATCAGCACATTAGGTACCTTGAGAAAAGAAACGAGGTTACCGCCTCCTATGGGCTCGGCTGCGACTGCGAGCCACTGCCCCAACCCGCTGCTTGAGCTATCGGTGACAGCCCATGCATCTTGCCCCTTCTCCCTAATCCACATTCTCCCTTCCTTAGTGCCCTCTCAAACCGCTATCGGTGACCGCCCATTCATCTCGGCCAGTTCCCCCAAATCCACATTCTCCTTCCCCTCGTGCTCTCTCAAGTCAGATGAAAGATCAGGTGGACAGTCAGATGGCGCCAGTGCAAAAGGCACGTTGCAGTTTATAGAACATCAAACACGACCTGGGTGCTAACAGAAAGCATATTACAGTACTATCTTTTTAAGTACGTATATACTGACATCGCATTTAAAAAGCATGAATCAGAAACACTGCACAGCCAAGACACTAAAATAGACATAATGACAAAAATCCTGCTTCATGGTGCTCCAAAAAGAAAGATCTTACAAGAGTAATGATAATTATGTAATGATGCTTCAGCAGCAAAAGAAAGCGGATTACAACTCAAGCTACAGGCAACTCGAAAGCTTCATATCATACATGGGACAAGAGTCAATTTTTAAGTTTATGGATACAATGCGTACTTCATCAAGAATCATTTGAAGGGACCCTCAAGTTTTCCATGCTGAAGAATGGATCAACCACCAAACAATTAGCTGCTCGAAGAAACGTGAAACCACTTCCGTATTGGTTAACAAACATGCTTGGGTCTTTGCTTGCCCAGTACGATTTACCCAGATCAACAAGCTTCTTGTTTATCTCAGCAGTGTTGCTTACGCTTGTTGAGAGGGTTATCACCAGGAGCTCCAGCTCCATAGCCTCTGCAACTACAAACCTCAAGAAAGCGAGCTCACTCCTATACCCACTGAACCCATGGAAACATACTTTCTTGACATGTCTCGAGAGACACTCAATAGAACCAGCTTGCCTCTGCCAATAACTCAGATTAAGCTTGCCTGTTGGCTTTTCAGATTCAGCAGACTGCAAAAAAAACAAAAAAAAGAGAGAAAAGGAAGCAGCTCAGACAACTTAACTAGCTAAAATGCATATGCTAAGCTACTTTGTAAGGATTGGGTAAAAAAACTCTTGCACTGGATTAATAGATACAAACAGAATAATGCAACAAGTAATACACCGAAATCCCACGATAAAATAAGCAGTTGCATAGACACAAACAGAACAATGCAACAAGTCATACACTGAAATCCCACGATAAAATAAAAAGTAGCATAGATACAAACAGAAATGCAACGAGTCATACACCAAAATCCCACGATAAAATAAAGATTTGTGCTATAAAGTTTTTAAACTTTCTCATTGTAAACATCTTTTGCATTGAAATAGATAATACAAATAAACAATGCAACAAGTCAAGACACTTAAGGTTCAAGATAGTATAAGCAGTTGCACTGTAAAATTACTTTTTTTTTTTTTCTCGAACACGCAGGAGAGCTGCGTATCATTTGTATTAGTAGAAGAATAAGGAGTCATACATAGACCCAAAAACACTCACCCCCACACCTTCCCTGATTTCTAAAGCTACATCACCTGAGTCTGAGAGTACAGCGACCAAGCATGCTAACTAACTAAGCACCCCTAGCAGTGAGCAAGGACAGACCCTTGGCTCCTGCCAAACACCACCAATGGGCATGATCCCTAGCTATACTAAGGGCTGTGTTAATGTTAGGTGCCACCCCATTGAAGACACAGTCATTCCGGTGCTTCCAGATGCTCCAGGCTCCAAGGATGATAATGGAGTTTAATCCTTTTCTCACATCTCCAGTGGTGGCCGCCTCTGCCTTCTCCCACCAATCCTCCCAAGCTGAATCCTCGGGTTGAGGCGTGAGTGAAGAGAGTCCGAAGCGCTGCAAGAGGGCAAACCAGAATTGTCTGGCAAACACACAACCAACTAGGAGGTGATCAATGTTTTCTTGTTCTTGGTCACAGAGTAGACATTTGGCCGGGTGAGGAAGTCCTCTCCGAGCAAGCCTGTCAGCTGTCCAGCACCGTTTATGAGCCACCAGCCACATGAAAAAGCGGCATTTGGGAGGAGCCCATGACTTCCATATTCTCTCATATGGCCTGAAGTATATGGCGCCCTGAAAAAATACATCATAGGCAGACTTCGCTGTGTATTTTCCTGAAGCCGAAAGCCTCCAAATGTGTCTGTCCTGTGCCCCATCCTGCAGCTCAATATTAGATAATTTATCCCACAATTCCAGATATTCCATCAGAGCTTCCACAGGTACTCCCACTCGGATGTCATCGATCCATTTCTCATCAGTCAAGGCCTCCGCTACTGTACGCCTGCCTATTATTCTTTTAGAGACCAAACTAAGGATCTTAGGCGCTACTTCCTCAATATTTTTCCCCTCCAGCCATCTATCCTTCCAGAGCAGAGTGGTAGCTCCGTTTCCTACATCGGTATACACTGCCATAGAGATGAGGCCATCCACCTCCTTGCTCACTTGAAATGGCAGACTTGCCCAAGGTTTACTTGGTTCAGATTTTCTCAGCCATGGCCACCTAGCTCTGAGTGCAAAACCTAGGGATTTTAGGTCCGCAATTCCCAGGCCCCCAAGTTCTTTAGATCGACAAACTTTGGGCCAGCGATGAGGCAAAGTGTCCTCCATTAGCTTCTTTTACGCCTCTCCAAAGGAACGCTCTTCTGATTTTATCAATTGCCTTAATAGCCCAAGGCGGAAGCTCAATTGCCATAGCCAAGTATACTAACATTGCAGTCAGGACATGTTGCACCTGCACCACCCTTCCTACCTTTGTCATTAGATCTGCTTTCCATCTTGGCAATCGATCAGCTATTTTATCGATAATTGGTTGGATTTGGTCTTTGGTCAGCTTCTTGATGGAGAGAGGCAAACCAAGATATTTGCAAGGAAATCCCTGAATACCACAAGGTAGCAGACTCGAACAACTCCCATATTTTCTTGAGAACAATGGATTGGCATTACGTTATTTTTTTACGCACATTTGTTTTGAGTCCGAAGCTTCCCCAAATAGCTGGAGTATTCTCAAAGTCAAATTGATATCCGCTGCTGCAGGTTGGAGGAAGAGAGCTACATCATCAGCATATAAGGAAATTCTGTGCTGAATAGGCCTTCTAGCTGGGGTTGCAGATTCCTTCCTCATCACTGTGTGACCATCCGATTCAGCACATCCATCACCAAGATGAAAAGCATTGAGAGAGAGGATCTCTGGCGGAGCCCTCTTCTATGTTGAATAGTCTCCCCAGGGCTGCCATTTAGGAGCACTTGGGTGGAGGAAGTTGAGAGCAGTCCGCAAAGAAGATCACACCATCGAGCACCAAAGCCGAGCTTTCGGAGTACCTCCAGCAGGAAAGACCAATTTACTGAATCAAATGCCTTTGTGATATCCAATTTCAGGAGTATTCTTGGCTGCCTTTGAGAGTGTAGGTATTTTACAGTCTGCTGCACCAACATGAAATTGTCCTGAATAAATCGTCTTTTGATAAAGGCGCTTTGGTTGGGGGAAACCATTTCATCAAGACGGCCAGCTAACCGGTTGGCAAGGATTTTAGTCACTAGCTTAGCAAAACTGTGTACCAGACTAATGGGCCTAAAGTCCTTTACCTGAGCAGCCTCATAGTTCTTTGGGATTAGGGTGATAAATGCAGAATTTAGCATCCACAAGTTCCTGAATCTTTTTTCCAGCCTGACAGTCGTGCTCTCCAGCCTGACGAGCTATGGCTGCGCAACAACTTGAAGAAGCACTCGCTCGCTCTAGCTTCATTAATGAGAACTATAGCCAGGTCAAGATCTCGAATAGGTTGGCTTAAAGAAGGGGATGCCAATACCAGATTGTTCCATATGCATGCACGACATAGAAAAAGGAAGAATTTTATTGCTAGATTGAAGGCGGGTGATCACATTGTCACTGCACATGAGGAAAAGGAAGCTGAAATCTTCGAGTTTTACTCAAACCTGATCGGCACAGCCTGTGACAGAGAAAGAACTATAAACCTTGAAGCACTCAATATCCCAGAATATGATCTAGAGGCCCTGGACATACCGTTTACGGAGGAGGAGGTTTGGAGAACCATCAAACACTTGCCAACTGATAAGGCCCCAGGTCCAGACGGGTTCACAGGAAAGTTTTATAAAACCTGCTGGACAATAATCAAAGAGGATGTAATGTCTGCTCTGCACACCATTTGGGTAAAATTACTTTTGAAGTAACTAATTATCAATAAACCATTTGCACTAAAAAAACAATGCAACAACCAACAAGACACTAAAGCTCATGGTAAAATAAGCACTTGCGATGTAAAGCTTTTCAAACCTTTCCATATATCAATATAAAATCTATAATAGAAATAGAAGATTATAACTCAATGTAAAATCTGTAAGGTAATGCCTTGTTCAGCGATCAGTGTGAAAGTATCTTGTTTTCCAAAACAGCCAAGTTGCTGTTAAGAGATAACCAAAAGAAAGTATGAAAATAAATTACCAACCTGCTAACAAAGGACAAGATAACAAAACAGTAACTGAGAGTTACAGATAAAACATTGGCACAGACTTGTACATAAAAATATCGCGACTCCTTTCTTTAGAAGTCAATATGGTTACTCAGCATGTTAGCTACTCTGAAGAAAACCAGAAAGTCCTAGTTCAAAGGCTGGGTGAGACATGAGGGATTATTTGTCGAAAAGCAGCAGTAAAATATGTCAACTTAAAATTATTATTGACCACATGTGCTAAGTACTAGTCTCCTAACTGGACAGAACAATTAATAGTTTACAATTTTTATGTATTCACCTCTTCTTGAAACGAATGGCGGAGTTTCAAACCTTAGTTTTAAGAGAGAAGTAAATAGAGAGGGGGCTACTCTCACCTCAATGTGTAGTGCAGAAATGTTAGGAAAGCATCTGAGGAAGCAAGGAAGTAGTTTGGCCTGCTCCTTATCCTTTAAGCACAATTTTAAGGCAAGGACCTGCAAACTGGGAATAATGTGGTACTTGGGCTGACCTTCGTCCCGGCCTTCAACAGCACCAAAAGTGTAAACATCAAAACAGCAAAAAGTTAGGTATGCCACATTATGCATGGACTTTAACTTTAGAACAACAAGAATGTCACAAGATATACCTCAATTATCGTGTCACCAATCTGCAGTTTATGCAGCATGTGCTCCATATAGCCAAGCACCCTCAGGTTTGGAGAACGTGCAATCTTCAGTGTAAGTACACCACCAGAGGAGCGAGTATTCCACAATATTAGCCGTTGAAGCAAGCATGTGTTATCCACATCAATTTCATCAGCAATAGACATCCACAACACCATGCAGCGGAGGGATGAATGGCCGTGGACACAAATATGCATCGGTTCATCGTAGCTTGCAATAAGAGCAAGCATCTCTAGAACAGGACTAGACTGCAGCATGTGTTCAAGGTCCGATGCTTCAATGGCCGTGGCGCATAGACCAAGCTCTCTCAGAGAAGGGTAGCCTTCAAAATGTCCACTGGTGGATGGGAACCTGAAGAATGCAACCCACAGGCGTCTGAGGGTTGCGCAATTCAAGACTTCCAAAGGAAGATCCATCTCAGTCGGAGGAGGCTGGTTGACCAAACACAGTTCTTTGATGCCCTTATTGGCAAGAATCCTTGTCCAGACGCGAAGCACGGGCTTTGCTTGCTCAAAGCATGTTAATAAGAGACTAACAGAATAGAAAGGTCCTGGGTGCATGTGCAGAATGCGGGTTATTGCCCTGATGCGGTGATCAAGCCTACAACCGGCAAGGTCCGAGTCGTTCAAGGACAGCGGCGTGGATGGCCACACGCTGAGCCAGCGTTTAGAGATTTCCCTAGTACCCAGGGCATCTCGTAGTGGCAGCCGAGCGACAATGTTTGAGCAAAGCTGTTCTGGCAGAGAGCTGAGCTGGTCGGAGCGAACATCGGATTCAGTTACGCCTGGGGCTGCGGGGGGCGCGCCCTCGACGGCGAGGTGGACAACGGATCCCGCGGCCGGAGGATCTTCGCCGGCGTAGCAGTCGGATAATCCCGCGACGTATGGGACTATGCGGGGAGGGTCTTCGCCGCGGGACGGGAAGTCCGAGATATCTGGCGGAGAGGGGTGCGGAAGACAAGCCAAGACGACAGCCTTCACCGAATCCATGGTTGCGTCGGGAGGAGGCGGCGGCGATGGCGGCGGCGGCTGGACGGGCGAGGAACTGGAATTGGGACTCCTTAAAAAGAGGACCGAACAAAACCCGCTGCCGGTATCGGGTAATATGTCCCGCTCCTCTGCCGGCCGCTGCCGGTATCGAGTAGAACTCTCTGTAAATAGGGAAAGAATACAAAGGACAGACGCTTCTCATCGAATCGAAGCCCTACAGCCTGCGCTACAGTTCGAGCAGCTCCGCCGCGTGATCTCGGGACATATGGAGGCCGCTGACGGCGAGAACCGAGAAGCAATCTAAAATCTGGCGGGGCAATCCGAACGCAGTCGTGAATGAACTCGAGCACGAGTTCTGCAAGCTGCTTCCTGAGATCCCGCCGCCCAAGGATGCTGGTTAGTAGTTTATTTGATTCGTCAACTTCTTTTTCTATAAATGTTATTATCTCTGCCTGTAGGTTGCGCCCTATCAGTACCAGGTAACTTATATCGGATAATTTATTAATGGGAAGAACGTGAGATGCGGAGAGAAAAAAAAAAGTGGATTTGCAGGAGATCTATTATTAAGTAGAGGCTGCAAGGAAGTAAACGCAAGCCAATTCAACCCGTTTTACTTGTAGTCGATTGGGGCCATCAAAACCTTTTTTTCCGTTCAAAAACTCCACACAAAGATGGGTGGATGCATGAAAGAATACAAATTCGTTTGATTGTATGTGTATGCATAATAATATATATGAATGTTGATTATCTCACTCAAGGTTTCTTCATTCTGTCATCACTAGACGAAGAGGAGTACATTGCAGAAGAAAAATTATGGGAGACTCTACTAGGGGTAAATCCATATTACTGGACTGGGAATACAGATAAAGCGTCTGAATCCAACAGAAATTTGGTTGGTAAGTCTCCACAGTAAACTTGGTCCAAATATTAGAATATGTTTTTGTGTCCACTAGAATTTAGATTTCTTGAATTGTAGGCTCCTAGCGTCATAAGTTCTCCACTTTGCTTAAGGTTTTTAGGAAGGATGAACTCTTCTTTAACAAGAAACATGAAGAAAAATGTTGTCATCCACGAGACTGATATTTGTTCTATCCCATATTCTAATTAATTCGGTAAGGTATAGCAAACTATTAAGGTCGCAAGGTTTTCTATGAGCACCCGATTTGGCAAAGTTGTCGGATTTGATTATTTTGGATATGTACTGTCTACAGGTTCTTTCAAGACCGTTGTTAGTTAGTATTAGTGAAGTGGTAATCTTCTGTTTTCTCATACATTGGGTGCGCTTATTATTTTAGCTAGGATTGTGTTGTATTTAACATTGTAGGGTAGTTTCAACAATATGCAATGAATGCTGACTAGCATGAACGTTATTTGATTTCTTCCATTCCTTGTGCATAGCTACTAACTCTGGTTTGAGATTTGTCTTCATTCAGAGGTGGCCTTGAAGATTAAAGACAATTATAACAGGTATATGGATGATCACTTCAATAAAATTGAAGAGTTAAATATAACACTCGATGTCGGGGACACATTTGATTATGTCCGCATTCACCCCCGTTCTCCTTCCCCGAGATGCTTTTATTGGTGGCACGGAATGTTTTGGATGACAAATACTAACCCCAGTAAGCTTCATAGTATCATTTTCTTCTTATCTTCACTATCTCTGAACAATTTTAATCCCCTCATGAATCCATCTGCTTTTGCTATCTCAGCTTCTATAAGGAGCAAGCGCTTTACAGAGCCTGATGGCTGTGAATATGTATAATCAGAGCTTCTTCAATTCTTCTCACTGAGGTTTGCTGGTGATTTCTCTCATGGTCAGACAATGTGTGTTTATGGTTTCATGGCAGTCCATGATGATGTTGATCAACTACGCAATTATATCTTCAACCTAACAAGGGACCATGCCCAAGAGATAACTCCGGTTAGTTGATTTGATCTTGTCTTTTCTGGATTATCAATTTATGTACTTCTTGAGTTACTTCTCATTTCTTGTTTTTTTTGTCTCAACCCTCCCTATTGTTCATGTTCTTTTACAATATTAGCACTCAGGTGAAAGCACAGCTGCGTGTATTCTGACATTTGTGACACGAAATTACAAGTACAGTGCCATGTTTCAAGTAATTACATGTAATATGCACAATTGTGACCCAATTTTAACTTGCTGTGGCCCAGAGCAGTGACAGATGATTGCAACAGGAGCAGCCCTACTTAGAGTAAGTGCCAACGTGGGCAGGAGTAGGGCTTGCTGGCACGTTTGGCAGGTTGACCATTACCAACAAATGGCCCCAAAGATGGAGACCTAGGTTCCCCTTTAAGGCACACATTAAAGGATAAAAGCATTCAGTTGTCATGTTTGCATGCATGAGGCTGCTGAGTTGTTCGTTACAACTCCTTATTACACTTCTAGTGGGCCAGCCAAGTTGAAAAGAACTTGACCACTCAAGTTCAAGTGAGGTTCAACGGAGCGAGTCCACGGTACTTGTATTACCCATGCAATGAAATGAAACATAAAATAAAACGGCTTAAGAAATTGAGCTAGGCATAGCAACATAGTGGCTTGTTTGGCAGAGCACTAGATCTAAGAATTTTTGGAGGCTGATAGCCTTAGCTCCAAGAATTCATGGAGCCAGGCTAGGTGTGTTTCAGTGAACATTTTAGACTAAAAAGTAGGCTTAATCCCATTTCATTTACTCCATGTTTGACATGGACCTGCTGAGAGCTAAAGCTCTGCCAAACATGAGCAACATAAGTATGCCGAATGACTTTCAAAAGCTGATTTCATAACATCAGTATGCTCATTTTGTCAGAAGTCTTTCAGTAATATTTTACCTCAAATATCCGACTCGTGTCTAATTTTTTCTTTATGGAACAGGATTCTCCTGATCTGCGGTTGATTCCCCCAGCTCGAGGGATATCTGCAACTTACAATGTGATGGTGGAATATAGTCTCAAGGTTAAAAGCAATGGTAGTGATGCTTCTGAAAAGGATGATGAGCTTATCGATGGTTGCTTTGAAGTGAAGCGGACTCCGTGCAGCGATATCCAGCTACGAAATGTGCGGTTGTTCAGCTCTCTTGGTCCTATCGATGTCCGCTTCGCCATCCTGAGGTATGCAGTGGAGGCGACCATAGACATCGAGGTCAAGAGGGCAATAGCTAGGTATAACTTAAGCACAGTCACTGCATCTACGTGTGGATACGAGGACGAGATTATGTTATATGACAGTTCTGCACCTTGTCCTTTGGCTGCATTAAATTACGGTTCGTCATCGCTGGTAGCTGTGGCATCTGCTGTTGTGGCTGTGGAGCTGGGTTATGACCTGAAACTAAGAATTGGTATTGCTACAGGCGAAGAATTGAGCTTCCATGATCTCTTTTTCACCGCACAGAAGCACAACACTACCGAGGAATTAATAGTTATAGACAGTATATTCGAGGTCGCTGTAAAGGTCACCTGGTCGACCATGGGGAAACGTTTTCACCCGTTTTTTCATAACAATAGGAGCTTACTGGGTGAAAATCCTGATGGTCCATGTTTAAACTGAATAGAAGCTTGCGCTGACCTGTTGGCAAAGATTCAGATGGTACTTGTAACTGTCTGTTGTGTTTGCATTATGTAGATTTTCCTACCATTTCTGCTGTGTACTCAAGATATATTTTCATGACTTTATCTTAACTTTTGGGGTATTAGATGGTTACGTATGTTGAATGTCGCAGCCCACAACGCAAAAGTTCCAGCTCATACGAGTTGACTGAAGTCGATTTCATAGCATAAGAAAACCAGATCAAGAAGAGTATGTTGCACGCGAGAAATCCTGATAGCCTAGCAAGAGGCTACCCTAAGGGCTAAGGAAATGACTAGAGCGCGCGTGCGCTCCCTTCCAATAGCAACGAGTCTTCCTTTCCCTTCCCTAATACCATAAGATCTATCGTATTAGATTTAGGCCCGTTCGCTCGACTGTACTCTGTGCACGAACAGCTCAAGAACGAAGATCCGAGGCCAGACCCTTCCAGACATTCCAGAGGGGAGCAGCCGAGCAGGCCCAATCCAGTATCCAACAACAAAGACGTGGAGACACCTTTGCCAACAGCGACAGAAATGGCACTCTCTGAACTTCGGCAAATGGAACTCAGTTTCACAGTTCACACCATGGGTTAATTTTTCTTTGGTCTTGCAACTATCTTTCTTTGAAGGATTAAGTCCACTTTTGGCCCCTCAACTATTGGGTTCGTCTAATTTTGACCCTCAACTACAAAACCGTCTAATACTAGTACCCCAACTATCAAAACCGTTCACTTATAGCATCTTGGCGCGGGTGAGGCTGTTTTGTCCAACGTGCAGCGGTTTTGACCACGCCATACTGGCGTCGACCATGCCACGCTGGCCCCTCTCTTTCCCCCCGTCCTACCCGCGTGAAGGAGGCAACGGCGGCAGCGGCACTCGAGCAAGTTGCGGTGGCGGCGCCCGAACAGCCAAGCTTGCCATGCCCGCCGCCTCACGCGCCCCGGACAAGCTCGCCATGGTTGCATGGTGCTCGCAGGCCGCCACCACCGCCGTCGCATTCCTGCTGCTCCGCTCTTCACTAAGCCGAACGAGCACCACCGCCGGTTAAGCCAAGCCCTCCCGCATGCGGCGCTTCATCACCGCTGCGGCACCGCGGCCATGGCATCGCCGCCGCCATGGCTGCCTGCGCACGGACCCGGACCGAGCCCCCTCTGCCCCAGTCGCACCCTCATCCAAGTAAGTAGTAGTAGTAGTAAAACCGAGTTCCACCTAATGAACAAAAGCAGCCAATCAGGGTCAACAGACTGCACATCCCACAAATATCCAAATTTGCTGGAAGTAAATATATACAATAATTCACTCTCCTGAACATACAAGTGCCGTTTATATAGATAAACTTTGGCATAGATGATAGACCCAAGCAGACAAACCAGACAAATTCCATACAGCACCATCGGGGGCACAGTTTGTTTCCTTGATCACCGATACGCAGATTATTGAACATACAGAGTTACAGACAAAGGTTAGGGAGGAGAGAATGTATAATATCATATTTACAAGAAGCATCAGCATTTTGAGGCAACATGTGCTGAAACAATAGCTTTCCAGTTTATGGTTCAGATTTCGCCTATTTGCCTGGATGGAAGAAATTCTCCTTCAGCACATGCTCCCACTCTGTAGGTGAACCACCATACTGGTCAACTCGAGAGGAGATTAGGTGCGCTTCCTGAGACCCTTCTGTGCAAACATGAGAGTCCCCAGCAATTTGAAGCCACACATGGTTTTCATCAAGATTATCTTCACCATGAACTGCGCTTTCGATGCTCACTTCGTCAGATGTACCTTTGCACCTCATGTGGGTAGCAACATCTGCTGAACCACCTATCTCCTTTTTCTCCCTAGCACAGTTTCCTCCATCACCAAATTTGTCCAGGCCACCTACTGAATCTTTTCCTCCCAAACGATCTGCCAAATCATCAGAGTGAGTAACCTTAGAGCACTTCTCACTCAGGGTGTTGCTAATGGTTCCATTGGACACAACACCAAGGTCGTCCCCATTTGATTGATCACTACATGTGTCTTGCTGCTCCTTGTTGGCATCACCCATTGAGGTTTCATTATCAGGTCGAGACTTCAAAATTCTCAGCCTAGCCATAACAGCATCATCAATCCCATTCCCATCTTCTCTATTTGTTCTCGTAAAAAGTTGTTGCTTGCTGCTTTCCTGACCCAATAGGGCTGCACTATTAGGATGGGACTCCAAAATTTCCAGCCTAGCCATAACAGCATCATCAACATTATCTGCACTGTTTGTGCTTGCATCTAGCTGGTGTTTGTTGCTTTCCTGACTCAAAGAGGTTATATTGTCAGGACGAGACTTCAAAACTTTCAGTCTCGCCATAACAGCATCTTCGACTGCATATGGTCTCTTGCTTGCTTCTTGCTGCTCCCCACAGTCAATCTCACTGAAGGAGTTTACATTATCAATACGGGACTGCAAAACCTTAAATCGGGCAAACACATCAGCATCAACACCATTGAAAATGCTCCTATTTACAAAGGGAGATTGCTTGTCACGAGTATCTCCTCCCTGGCCCTGACAAGCCGCAGCGCATGCAATGGTTTCTTTCCCATGGTTCTGTGGTTTGCTACTGGACATGTATGAATTAGAGCCTTTACTGCCTTCTGATGAGTCAGGGGCTGCATTGGCAAAAGAAGAAAAATATGAGTATACACAGAATCCAAGAACCATTTGAAAATATTAATTTATATATCCATCTTGCTACTCCTTCAGCTTCCTTCCACAAATGTGTCTTCAGCATTCAAAATTGTCCACAAATGTAAACATTTCTGGTATAATCAACCCCTCCCCTCTCTCATCATTAATATTTGGAAGCAGTTTTATTTTGATGGCAAGCATGTTTAGCATCAATATAATCTTGCTGTTTAAAGTTTTAATTAGCACTTGGCGTTTATGGCATCTGTACGAAAGGAAGGCGTGCACCTCTGTAATCTTGGTGGTTGATTGAGGAACATCACAGTCATTTCCCTTCCTCCTACATATGTCCCAAAAATCCTGGAAATGCTTACATTTGTGGAGCGAGGGAGTACCTTTTACTGTGTCGTTGAGGCCTTTTGCTGTCTCGAGCTTCAGGCGAGCATGTTGAAGCTCATATTTGAGTTTACAAGCTGAAGCTTCTGCTTCAATCCACAAGTTTCTATAGATTGACGCCTGAGAAACTTCAGTGTTGTCAAGCATCTTATCCTCCAGGTGATTAGTAAGAACCTGAAACAAAAGGTGCAACGTAAGGCACATACTTCCGAAGAAATGGCTGTATTAATTCAAATTAAGCAGAAGCATGATGTTCCAAATAATGACTAAAGTTACCTGTGAAACAGTGGCCTTCAATTCTGAATCAGCATTCTCCTGTGCTGAATCTTCATGCATTGACCTCCAAAAGTCGTTCCTCGCACAATTAATATTTTTGAATTTCATTTGACTCGAGTTGCTCAATCCATCATCAATTTTTTGTTCAACCTTGGAGATAGATGAAATGAGTTAAGGCTAGAAACAAAAAGGGATTATCTATCTACATATAATGTCTGGACTCTGGAGATCAGAAAGCACCATAGAAAGGAAGGAAATATGCCCATTTTTTTATTCATCGTATAACTTTGGTTTACATTGCATTATGGAATAGTAAACGGTATTTAAATAAAAGCATTTCAAGATCATACCTTGCTTCTTTTGGAACTGGTAGCTGTAAGATTTTGAATCACTGATTGCAGAAGCTCCTCTTCATCTTCCTGCAACGAAGAACCACCCTTGCAGGTCGATAGAAGCACTACTGACAGATTGTGCATTAGTTTCAGAAATATTGCCTGAGTGCTGGAGGTGGATTCAGAAGACATATTCAGCATATTCCCCTCAACACCTGGATAACATTGAGAAGGGTCTTCACCTCTTTTGTGAGTGCTTTCTTCTTTCTCCACTACTGCAGAAAAAATATTTCCATGTAGGCTTCCTGTTCTTAAATGATCTGTATGAACTCTAGGAGTAATAGCAATAGGATTTATCACACTTTTACTCATTAGCTCATTTATGCTTGCTGTAAGGCTGCCACCATGTTCACCCAAAAGTTTTGGTTTGCTGGCAGGACATGAACTTTCCTGTTGACTTGAAGTTATCACATTCTTAGAATCTTCAGAATCATAGCATTTATGTGTCGTGGAATGCTGTTTGTCTGGCAAATAACTAGCATGAGTAGTCATGTCATTAAGAACCCTGACATCATTTGGCGGAACTTCTTTATGATCTTTGGAAATTTTACATCTTCCAGGCAACTTGAACGCCTTAAAAGGGTCATTCTCAGAACCCGATGCTTCTTGGTGTTCACAGAATCGCCATGGATACTCAGAACTCAACTCAGGGAGCTTCTGGTTTTGATGTGAATTGATGTAGCCTACTGTTCCTATCACCACAGGAGGAGCACCATTATTTTCTATGATCCCAAACGAAGGCTGGTATGAGGCTGGTGTGCCCTTCCAACAAGGTGAATCAACACTGGTGTTATTGACCTCAGGAAACTCAGATGAACATTCACGAGGCTGAACAAATCCAGACTCAGACGAAGAAACCTTGGAACTGAAACTTCCCAAATCATGTTTCATTTCAGAAGATCCCTGCGTTGGTCTCCCATTCCCTAAATGCTCAGGATTAAGGTGGTTCTCTCCAGGAGAATTGAGGGAATAGTTCCCCACTGTTGCCTTGTCATCAGGGTTACTCCATTTTCCACGCTGCTTATCAGTAGTTTGGTATCCAAGACCTTTTTGTTCATTCCACACGCAATCAAAATAATCAAGATTGATTCTGCAAGGATTCATATAAGGCGAAAAGGAGAATGAACTTTCCCCAATAGTGTCATTCATCAATGGAACGGTTGTATTGGCCATTTCAGATGAATTGACATATCGTGTAGAAAAGATGTGAGGTTGTGTATCTGTTGAACATGACGAAAGCTGTGTCATGTATTTGTCATA